AGTGGCAGACACAGGATTCCACCTCAGGTGTGAGATGAAGGCAATTGCTTTCTGCACTGCTCTACAGAGCAAATGCTAAAAGGCTCAGAGGGAGGTCAATTAGAAGTTGACAGGGATCCCCAAGACTCTCTACTCTGAGCCCCAAATTCAGAGCTTGCAGCCTTGCTGTTTTTCTGTTAGTTGTCTGCCTGTCCTGCAGGTCCTACACGGGCAGCAGGAATTTAGTCAATGAAAGGAATGCTGGCTGCCTCCCACGAGGGGGACAGGGGTACGATGCTCCTCAGCAAGAGGAATAAATGCCCACACTCAACACAAACACAACTTTTAAGTAAGAGAGGAGACACTTCATTCTTTCTCCCGAGATCATAGACTCAGGGTCAGCAAGAAACAGCTCCTGTGTGTGACATTATAGGCAATAGAATCAATGCCTTGCTTCTATGAGAGGAAAAAGTGTTTTTAAACAGAAGTGAAGGGAAATTCACATTGCTAGACTTCTGAAAATCCCCATGGGCAGATTTTTGTTCATGGCATTTATGATGTTTCTAGTGGCCGTTGGCACATCTGAGCACCATAGCTGACGAAAGCTCAGCAAAGTAGAACCCGACCTGTGATGGTCTCACACCTAAACTTAGACATTTCTGTTAATTTTATGATTTATAGCCTAACTTTTTCTAGTTATTCTTTTTTCTATATACAGTAACTACCCACAATTTATGAACTGGTGATCCTTCTTATTAATCCCATTGTAAGTAAAAAATAAGACGTTATTAAGTGCTCCATTTAAATATTCACTACAGGAGTAATGGCTTAGTAATAACATATCAATGTCATGGAATACTTAAAAATGTCTTTCCAAAATAAAAACAGACCTATGTCAACTGTCAAGGAATAATACCAAGGACAAGACACTCTGCACGCTTATATTAAAACTTGAATACTTAGTGGAATTTTCTTGTAGAAGAATTGGGAAGCCAAATTAGGACAAAGAGGAGGTAAATATCACATTTTGTATAGAAAACCATTACCAACTGGCTAGGCTTCCTTCTTGGGCTGTCTTAAGGATGACAGAACTGACACTAGGAGGATCACAGTCCCCTCTTCCTGCCTGCTTGACTTGGTAAACAGTGCTGAAACGTGTGCTTTTCCCCTCTAGTCAAGTAAGAAGGGCTCCAAGAGAAAGATTACCAAAGGCTGGAGTGTACTTGCAAGGGGGGATCCAGGCATCCCATTTTCCAGCACCTCAGCTGCTTCGGTAGCTGACTCACTGATCTGCCTGGTGCCTACTGAGCAGACATGGGAGACAGAGAGTCAGGTATAGGAGTGTGAGTTTCCCATGGGGTAAGTGGACACAGTGAAGAGGATCACAACCTTGAGCAGTCTTTTGCCCTTTGCACATTTGCCTTGCTGTCTAATGGCATCTCTTAAAAAAAAATATTTTTTGTGTATGCATGTATTGCCTGCATGTATGTAAGTGCATCTATGGCATCAGATTCCCTGGATCTAGAGTTATAGATGACTGTCAGCTGCCATGTAGGTGCTGGGAACCAAACCCAGGTAGGTCTTTGGCAAGAGTAGCTAGTGCTCTTAACCACTGAGCCATCTCTCCAGCCTCCTAAAGGCATCTCTTGACTATGTCCTGGGCCATGGGAACTTTCCAGAAGGCTTGAAGCCTGACCTTTGGCCTTTTCCCCAGACCTCCTTCAAACATTTGTTTAGAGAAACTCAGCCTATTTAAGGACGAGTAGTCAAGTAGGTACCACAGTGACATCTATGTTCAGACAGTACAAGAGGGAAAAAGCCAGTGAGTAGCAAGAGAAGAAATATCACCAAGACACTACAGGTGTCTGGACATGAATTCTCCATGGAATTATTTGTAATAAAGATAACAAAAACCTTAAAAATCAAGGATAATCCAAATATCCAAGAATAGGGTGTTGATTACACAAATCAGTGCAAATTTATATGATGGGCTACCATGAAGCCATTGAAAGCAGTGAGTTATAGCTATGTATGCTTAAATGTGGAAAGATAGTCAATATATAAGTGATTTATTTATCAAATAAGCTATATAGGGGCCTAGAGAGACAGCTCAGTGGTTAAAAATGCTTGCTGTGCAAGCATGAGGACCAGAGTTCAGATCCTGGAATCCAAATAACAAGCTGGGTGTGGTTTGGTAACCCCAGCACCGAGGGGGCTGGAGATAGGAGGATCAGTGGGGCTTGAGGAGGACCAATGGGGCTTGAGGAGGACCAATGGGGCTTGAGGAGGATCAATGGGGCTTGAGGAGGACCAATGGGGCTTGAGGAGGACCAATGGGACTTGAGGAGGCTCAGTGGGGCTTGAGGAGGACCAATGGGACTTGAGGAGGCTCAACGGGGCTTGAGGAGGACCAATGGGGCTTGAGGAGGCTCAATGGGGCTTGAGGAGGACCAATGGGGCTTGAGGAGACCAATGGGGCTTGCCAATGGTTCAGGGAGAGTCCCTGCCCCAAAGAAATGAAGTGGAGAGTGATAGGGGAGATTCTGACATCATCTACACACCTAAGTGTACACCCACTCAAATATCACACGTATGCATACACACATATACAAACCCATACAGAAAGACATGTATAAAATTGACAAAGTACATATGCATGTTTATAGAATTGGGGAAGTGTAAAACAATAAATAGGTAATATATTCACCCAGTATCTAAAATCAATGTATGTTTTCTGAAAAGCGGCTCAAAATCTTGAATCTTAATTACTGAAATAAATTTCCCCAGCAGTCAGATGGATTAGGGACATTTTATTTTCCATTATCCTTTGTTGAATATTTACCATAATGCACCTGTCATTTCATGTTTAATTTTTTACTTATTTAAGGCACTGATTGGGGAGGTAAGGAAATGAAAACCAGTTCACATTAGTCTTAAGGCAAGTTGTCAGTGCAAGGGACAAAACAAAGCCAATAGCTTAAAGGGATGCAGAAATGCATCAGGAAAAGGAATTTTGTTGTTTTTTTTTTGCTTTTTTTTTTTTTTTTTTACCAGTTCCATCTATGTGAACATAAGTCAAAGGTCCTGCTTGACCATGTCTCTCTTCACTGGGAAGCATGAATGAGATGTTTCCTCTGAGTTGGTCCTCAGATTTTAAGACTGGACACCGATTCAAGTCCATCTCTTGGGGTCTCGATGGCCTCCCTGAACAAGACCACAAATGACTCATCACAGTTACAGGACATTTTGAGGGATATTCCATCATCCCCTGGATTTTAGTTGACCTTGGAGGGCAAGGGGAAAAAGCAGTCCTTTAAGTCCCTCTGACCACATAAGTGTTGGCCTCAAACTATGGTTGCTAAACATCCAATCAGGTTAGTTCCACCAGTCTGGTACTTTTAATTGTCATGTGCTATGTAGATAAGGCTTTGGTAAAAAAGCAAATATTCTTGGATAAACCTTGACTAGATATATATTTTGTTCCTTAAACACTTGCCTAAA